TATTAATAAAGGAATCATTTAAAACTTATATCTTTCTGCCTCTTCGTGTCTTCATATAGTCTGACGTGATCCCTACACATTATTTGTAATTGAATTCGTCATCTGAATTCTTTAATTAAAATTGTTCATAATCTCATCTTTCAAGTCTTCATACTTGATAGATTTTGTTTAAGTTTGACGTGTAAATTTAGTAAAGTTAAGAGTTAGGCAGATCCTAACGTCTTAACTGCAGTAGACTACAGTTAGAAATTTCGAGTAGAGATTTGATAACGTGATCCTTCAAATTAAAGAATTTCAAAAATAGACAAAACTTTATAAGCAAAAAACTTTACTAAGATTGTGTTAGGCTGTCACAATGACACATGACTTGTGACGCAATAAAATATTCAATATCTTGGAGTAAAAATATCCTGGAGTAATTTAGTAATCATTGCCCATTATAGGTTCGTGACCAAGATAACAGTTATGAAAACCGTTCCCTCAGGGAACGATTAGAGTTATACAAAAATTGATTGCAAACATTCTGATGAATTTCAAGCCATCCTTGCTGAAAAGAAAAAGCTTTCATCAGTTTCTTACCCACTTCGAGCCAAAAATTTGAAGCACTAATTCTGATCTACACCACATACCACACACAGCATATACATTTGATACAAAATACAATCTGCACATACTGTATAAAAAATAGTTCAACGCGGACAAACTTTATTGCATTAATTTTAGTCTAACAGCTAATACATAAAATACATAATTAACATTATTGTAAAATAGGTGAGAATTTACAGTATAGTAAAGGTTAATGTAAATGATAAAGTAATGATAGTATCAATAAAAAAATATCAATTTTGATTACGTTTTCGTGGTGTGAAATATGTTGATTTGATGAATTTGATCTTTTTATGTTTTGGTTCTAGTTGCTTCTTATCAATACTATGGAAAATTTTTTTATATAGGTTTATTTGTGTATCGAATTGTAACAGAATAGTAGCCTTTTGAATTATACATTCCTATAATTGGCAATAGTAAATAAAAGATTTCTTAAAGAAAACTAACAATTGAAAAATATATTTTTTCAAACCTTGAAGTAGTATAATATCTCTAATGTTTGGTGCAGTGGTTTGATATTAGGTAATTGCAAAGGAACCTTGAAGTCAGGTCCTTCCAAGCCAAAGTATAGATCATTATCAAACAAATCCACAGCAAGGAGTTGATCATATAATCCTAATGCAGTGATGAAATGTTAGGTATAACAATTTTCAATTTAGTGATACAAACACATCTTACCAGCAAATTGGAAAGCAAATACTGCTGAATCTTCAACAGCTTGATTAGAAATGTTCTGTTTTAAAATATTGTCAAGGATGCACTTGTTAGTACATAGAATTTTATTACAATACTGAACGATTTTGGCCGGTGTAGGTAATTGTACACATTCCGTATGACTAAGTTCTATGCATTGCCCTTGAGTCTCAATTTTCAGATCTATTTTTCTACATGCAGTGCTAGCCTTCAATACAGTTTCCCCCCTACAATATGTTGATAAAAAGTATTATAAAGTGCAAATAGTAAAATTTGCATATTAAGCGTGCTCAATAAAATAGTTAGTTACCATCAAAGTCTAACAAGATGATTGATATCTGAAAATATAATGTCCATAACTGAGGCTACTGTTTTGAGAACAAATTCCATCTCTGTTAGCTTTGTTTCTTTGTTATTTTCATCCACAAAGACATATAGATCGTTAAGTAGCGTATCTAAGCTAGCAATAAAAAAGATGCATTAGTTTTAATATTTATAGGAACAGTTACTAAACTACAATTAAAAAAAAATGATTTACATTGTAAAGTATATTTTCACGATTTGAAGATAGATTTTTGTGGCGGAACGATCCTTCATT